GGTCTAGTGTCTGATGATTCTGTTAATTTGGTCGTTGTAGTATTCTCACAGCCGAATTCATGAGTATCTCAATACATGATAGTGGGGAAATAGCAGTATTGATTTTATCTGAAGCAAAAATACGAGGACCCATTTCATCTAACGGGAAGACCGGTGATGAAGTAAGTCTCATCCGATTCAGATACATATTTTTTTAATGAATGTGCACTTCATTTGTACCACGTGGAGCTCGATTGTTGGTGTAAAAACTGAATAGAAGATCCTAAACTGTGAGAAGTGGTAGATTAATCAGAAAAAGAAGTGGAACAACTTCCAGCATGATTGTTTGCTTCTTTGCTTCAATCTTTTGTAGCATCTATAGTGTACTATCAACGCTCCTCCGTCAAACTCTGAATATTGGGCTTACACCTTTGCAGGTTAAGCTAGAAGAAGAGGACTCATCTACCTTATGTGATCGGCTTCTTCCTCTAGTTATTGGATTGCTAAGAACGGTGAGTGCCTGGTCTTGAATATTTTTCAGCATATGCAACCACCAAAGTTGTCAATGCTTTATTGCTTGAGTTTCTTTGTTTATGCTGTTTCTGGTGACTGGTGATTAGTGTTTGTTCATGCTCATTAAGTGTTTATCCTGAATTCAGTTTCTCATGTATTGTTCTTTGGACTGTTTTCCTTAGGCAAAGTTCCCCTCAGTTTTGAGGATGTATCGTGAGGCACTCACATCTGAAATGAAAAATGCAATCAAGAATGTAGTTGCTGAGCTGCTTCCAATTCTGGTTACCAGATCTCTCGAATCTGATTTTTCACATGGGGACCGCTCAGTCGAAGTTGATGGTGAGATTTTAATTGTTATTACTATGTATTAAAATTGTCCCGTGACTTAGTTTGCGCATGAAAACATACTTGAACATAAGTTTAGCATTTGAAAAGTGTAAAATTTCTCTGGTACACATTCTTGTTTTAGCAAATGCTTTTATCAATATTACAGTATATTCCCATTTACTTGTTTTTTGGGGGTCTCTACTATGATCTGAGACCCTACTGTGAAGTAATTTACATGGAAATTGGTTTAAATGATGTATTTTTATCGTTCTCTTAGGATAAATGTATTCTACTTCGATGGTAGTTTGTCTCTCCAAAATCCATGCTTATTCCTAGTGCGTATTCAGGTGGAGGCTTATCTCTCGCAAGCAAGTTGAGGACTCTGTCATCTGAGGCATTTGTTCATCTCTTAACTGCTATATTTAGGATTGTTCAGGTAATATATGCATCAATTCTGGAGCTTTTAATTATTTAAACGAGCATCATAGGAAGTTATTTCTATATCTACTTTTGTTAAACCTTTAGCAGCATTTTTTGTTTTGATACATCTACCTTATAGAGGCATTGTAACCTTTTTCACCCTCTGAAGCAGTTAGATGGTTGATTAAGATGTAATATGATTTCATTTCATTTAGTGAATGCAGGTACATCTAGTCCGGGCTTCGGAAGTGAAAAAGGCAATTGAATGGATTCTCTGCAATGTCGATGGACACTA